GGGGATATGAGGGGGTTTTTGGGGGTTATGAGGGGGTTTGGGGGGTCCTGAGGGATGTCCCTGTGTCCCTGGGGTGACACTGGTGGCACCGGGATTTTCCTGGTGTCCCTGGTGTCCCTGGTGTCCCTGGTGTCACCGGGTGTCACCGGGATGTCCCCGTGTCCCTGGTGTCCCCGGTGTCACCGGGATGTCCCCGTGTCCCTGGTGTCCCCGGTGTCACCGGGTGTCCCTGGTGTCCCTGGTGTCCCTGGTGTCCCTGGTGTCCCCGGTGTCCCTGGTGTCCCCGTGTCACCGGGATGTCCCTGGTGTCACCGGGTGTCCCCGCAGATCCTGCGCCGCGGGTGCCACGTGGACGACAGGGACGGACTGACGGACATGACGCTGCTGCACTACGCCTGCAAGGCCGGCGCCCACGGCGTGGGTGGGTGACAGGGACACCCAGGGTGTCCCCCAGTGTCCCCCAGTGTCCCCCAGTGTCCCCAAGGTGTCTCCCAGTGTCCCCCAGTGTCCCCAGGTTGTCCCCAAGGTGTCCCCAGGTTGTCCCCAAGGTGTCCCCAGGTTGTCCCCAGGGTGTCCCCAGGGTGTCCCCAATGTCCCCAGTGTCCCCAATGTCCGTCTGTCCTTAGGTGACCCCGCGGCCGCTGTCCGTCTGTCGCAGCGGGGTGTCTCCATTGTCCCCAATGTCCCCATTGTCCCCAATGTCCCCAATGGTGTCCGTCTGTCCGCAGGTGACCCCGCAGCCGCTGTCCGTCTGTCCCTATGTTGTCCCCAATGTCCCCATGTCCGTCTGTCCCTAGGTGACCCTGCAGCCACTGTCCGTCTGTCCCTAGGTTGTCCCCAATGTCCCCATGTCCGTCTGTCCCTAGGTTGTCCCCAATGTCCCCAATGTCCGTCTGTCCGCAGGTGACCCCGCGGCCGCGGTCCGTCTGCCGCAGCGGGGTGTCCCTGTCCATCCAATGTCCCCAATGTCCCCAATGTCCCCAATGTCCCCAATGTCCCCATGTCCGTCTGTCCCCAGGTGACCCCGCGGCCGCGGTCCGTCTGTCCCTGTCCATGTCCCCAATGTCCCCATTGTCCGTCTGTCCCCAGGTGACCCCACGGCCGCGGTCCGTCTGTCCCTGTGCATGCCATTGTCCCCAATGATGTCCGTCTGTCCCCAGGTGACCCCGCGGCCGCGGTCCGTCTGTCGCAGCGGGGTGTCCCCAATGTCCATCTGTCCCTAGGTTGTCCCCAATGTCCCCATGTCCGTCTGTCCCCGGGTGACCCCGTGGCCGCGGTCCGTCTGTCGCAGCGGGGTGTCCCCAATGTCCATCTGTCCCTAGGTTGTCCCCAATGTCCCCATGTCCGTCTGTCCGCAGGTGACCCCGCGGCCGCGGTCCGTCTGTCGCAGCGGGGTGTCCCCATGTCTGTCTGTCCCTAGGTTGTCCCCAGTGTCCCCATTGTCCCCAATGTCCCCATGTCCGTCTGTCCCCAGGTGCCCCCGCGGCCGCGGTCCGTCTGTCGCAGCGGCTGCTGGCGCTGGGCGGGGACGCGGGGCTGCGCAGCCGCTGGACGCACATGAACGCGCTGCACTACGCCGCCTACTTCGACGTGCCCGAGCTCATCCGCACCCTGCTCAGGGCCGCCGCCCCCCGAGGTGAGGGGGGGTCCCCAAAATCCAGACTGAGCCCCCCAAATCGGGACTGAGCCCCCCAAACCGGGACTGAGCCCCCCATAGTGACAGGGACCCCCCAAAACCCCTGCTGAGGGTCGGGGACCCCCGCCCGAGCTCATCCGCACCCTGCTCAGGGCCGCCGCCCCCCGAGGTGAGGGGGGGTCCCCAAAATCCAGACTGAGCCCCCCAAAGCGGGACTGAGCCCCCCAAACCGGGACTGAGCCCCCCATAGTGACAGGGACCCCCCAAAACCCCTGCTGAGGGTCGGGGACCCCCTCGGGCTGCGGGCCGGGGACCCCCGAGGTGAGGGGGGGGTCCCCAAAATCCGGACTGAGCCCCCAAACCCGGACTGAGCCCCCCAAATCGGGACTGACCCCCCCCAAATCGGGAATGACTCCTCACATGGCCGTGCCTCAGTTTCCCCCCTACATTTGTTGGTTTTGGGGTCCCCCCGTGGTTTTGGGGTGCCCCCGTGCCTCAGTTTCCCCTCGTGTTTTTGGGATCCCATCTAGTTTTGGTGGTTTTGGGGTCCCCCCGTGTTTTGGGGTGCCCCTATGTGCCTCAGTTTCCCCTTCAGGTTTCGGTGTTTTTGAGCTTCCCCCTTGCCGTGCCTCAGTTTCCCCCGGGATTTTTTCGGGTCCCCCTTACTTTTTAGGATCCCCCGTGGATGTTTAAGCCCTGCCCAGATTTTTGGGGTCCCCCGTGCCTCAGTTTCCCTCTACATTTGGTGTTTCTGGGGGTCCCCCCATACCCTGTGCCTCAGTTTCCCCCGCCGTGCTCCCTTTGCCGTGCCTCAGTTTCCCCCGGGGTTTTTTGGGGTCCCCTTTGCTTTTTAGGATCCCCCGTGGATCTTTAACCCCTCCCTGATTTTTGGGGTTCCCCGTGCCTCAGTTTCCGTCTACATTTTGTGTTTCTGGGGGTCCCCCGTGCCCCGTGCCTCAGTTTCCCCCTCTGGTTTCTTTTTGCCGTGCTCCCTTTGCCGTGCCTCAGTTTCCCCCGGGGTTTTTTGGGATCCCCTTTGGTTTTCGGGATCCCCCGTAGATCTATAACCCCTCCCTGATTTTTGGGGTCCCCCGTGCCTCAGTTTCCCCCCCTTTCCCCCCCCAAATTTCCCGCAGTGCTGCACTCGACCTGCAGCGATTTCAGCCACGGCACCGCGCTGCACATCGCGGCCTCCAACCTGTGCCTGGGGGCGGTGCGCTGCCTGCTGGAG